GCAAAATATTAAAAACCAAGTTTTAAACTTGGTTTTGACCAAACCAGGTTTAACTTAGGTTTGGAACTTATTATAAAAAAAAACCCCGGCTCCTAGGCTTTTAATTTGAAACTTGAAACCTAAACTAACTTTACCATCCCTATTCTGAACGACCACGACCACGACCATAACCTCTAAATTCGGGTCTAAAGTCACCTGAAGCACCCTCCTTTTTACCTTCACCTCCATCATCGCGGCGACGGTAATCACGGTCGGAACGACTTTGCGGTGGCCGATAAGCTCCACCTTCCCTACCTCCTTCCATTTCTGTTAAATCATAAATTATTTCAGTCTATCTCGAAAAAATTTCCGAATTAATATAATAAAATAATCACAACTAACCAGGACGCCTACTGGGTTGTCTAGCTTGTTTTTTGAATGTAGCGGGAACGATTTCTTGAGGCAAATGTAAATACTCTCTTAGATATTCAATGCCTTCATTCGTTAAAGAGTAATAATAATATTGCCATGAAAATTGTGTCTTCACATAGCCTTTAGAGTTAAGACTCTGGCAGGCTTTAATAACATGAAGATTTGTAACCTCGATGTCCTGATGTTTAGGAGCATTGAAATCTTTTTTTGCGACTAATACGCCCTCTACAATTTATACATAATAAATTTAATTCAAGTAGAAGCAAAGAAGAGTTGTATTACTGATTTATAGAAAATTACAGACAGATGAATCACAAGAATACTGCAAACCTTTGAAAAGACTTTCATAGATGCGTTTGCGGTTTTGCTTCGGAATAAGCATCCTCACTGTCAGTCTGTCTAATAAAAATTAGTCGATTCCAATCACTAAAATGAAAACCTCTTTTTTTAATAAGCAATACCTTGAAAAAGTAATCAACACACGCACACGTTGCAAAATAAACTATATATTTTTTTGCAATTGTCTCACGCGTTAATAATCGTAAAATCTGTGATAATTTTTGATGTGGTTCACATAAGATGTATCCTATTTGAAGTCTTTAATGCAATAGCAAATTATTCACTTTTTCTGGGGTTTTTTTTTTTTTTTACCCTTTAATTGCTACTTAAAATACCTACGTTT